CAGCATACAACTATGTAACTTAATCATAAGCAAATTCTTAATTGAAAACACCTACGAATTTGTTCATAAGTTACTCGCATAAGATTTGAAATAGATAGCAGATCATTATGCAACACATCTAACGATAACATTCGACACTCACTGCTATATCGCTTTGTATTTTGATTCATGAACATCGATACTTTCCGTCCTTGCCGTTCCGCAGCTGGATATTCCGCAACACTAACCCTTTCGTCATGTCGAGTCTCTGATTCCGTTGGTATATAATAGGTGGGTAAGTGATGGATGGCACACACAGAACCTGACTTTGGCGACAAACGGAGTCCAGCTGGATACCTGAAAATAAAGTTCATTGCTGTGGTTGAATCTGGCGATAGACGTGACAAAAACAATAAAATGAAGATTCATTTCAAACTCAGAGAAAAGTTAGTCTGTCTTACTTTTGTACCGGCGGTGGTCGCAACAATTTTGAAGTATCATTTGCAGCTGAGTTCTTGACGTCATAGATAATCAAATAGCCATCATTTGTTCCAATCCAAATCTGTTCATGAACATACAAAACCATCGTTATTTCCATGTCTTGTCGACCATCCAAACATGTAAAACTGGGTCTTCTGAATAATCATTTTCAACTGTTAGTCATCTGCGTGAATCTCTTAAATATGATAAAGTCATTGTGCGATAAACAATCACATAAGTGATCNAACTGAATTCCGATGAGCAATTGATGCGCTGACTTCACTCTCATTGGAGCAATAACATTGGTCAAAGACGTTCGCAAGGTATTGAGTTGGCGGAGAAAAAGTGACAAGTGATATAATGAAATGAAGCAGTGAAGTGCAACAGAATCGGGAAGAATGTTTCGAAATGAAGAACGTAACGGTATACTGAGCACAACAATTTTGCATGCAACTGCAAGACAGAGTGTGTGATTCACGACAACAACATCGCTGATGGGTGCAGCACCGATCGGCAGATGATACAATTCCAGTTCGTTTGGAACGAGTTCCGTCACATTCTGCAAACGATGATTTGAAGCCGTTCACAAGCAAAGACACAAAAAACAGAACCAAGCGCTTATAACGGTAACAAAAAATAAATTGATATCAACCATTTTACAAGTTTCATTGCGACATTGCATTCATAACGAGTTTTGCGTGACTGTTTGACTCAAAAAATAAGCTTTGCAGTCGAATAATTAAGCGATCTACCTCAATAACGGTCAGTGTTCCACTGGCAAGCGCTGCATAAAGATGCTCGTCGTAATGAAGTAATTTCAGTGGAACATCGTTCAACTTCAATTCCCACAGAATTTCACTGAAAGTGAGTTGTTTCGAATGATTATTTCAACTCGGTCTCATTGCGATTCCATTTCAAAGTTTCACATCCGAACGAATTGACCTCAATGAGGGAATCAGCATGAAGAGGGCAAGGAAAGATCTGATCTTTTATTCATTGCATTGTAATGCATTCATTCATTTGAAACTGTTCTAATTCATAAACTGAACTGGAAACTATTTGACGATTTCATATAGGAAAAATGGGCTGAGTGATTTGTATCCTTTTTGTCGAAACAAAGAGCAGAGTAGTAGTATCATTTGTTTAGGCTTGGGAATAGATTACAATGAATGAACAGTTTTTCGCGTTAATTTTCATTTCAATTTGATCGTAAATGCACAGAAGGCAGCAAGTTGAGAGAAAACGAACACATTCAAGCCTTTGATATGAACCGCAACAATATACGCAGATAGTAGGGATAGAAATGCGATATCTTCGTCTGGAGCGATCATCGAAAGAATGCGACATTCGAACTGAAAACAGCAATAAAATTTCGCTGATTGCTTTTCATTATTTCGCAGCGCACCAACGATAGAAATGCACATCCTTCTTTGATCTTCACAGTATTCATTCAACAAAACTGATTGCAAATATCTTCAAAGGGTTAGCACGATTTAATGTGTGCGTTAACACTATTTACTCTGTGGTAATCATACTCGACTCGCCTCATGGTCTAATTTTTGCAAAGTTGAAGTGGTAGCGGTTATAGTGAATCGTGAAACAATTCCTTTCGTTTGATTTCCAGCGCAAATATAGCCACACCCTTGCTTGGTACCGCAGAACGTTACTAATTCAATGACGTAACCATCATTCAGATTTGGTTTCGCTGTCTGTAATAATGATCGAAAATCAAAACTCAAACATTTGAGATCTATAAATATTCATTTTTTGAGCCTGTCACTGTAGAATTTACAGCGTCTCGAGGTTGAAAAATGAATGCAGTTGCAACATAACAGTCATCGGATCCTATCCTCGTGATGCTCCGTTATATTTCATGAAATTAACCGTATTAACAGTCAACCAGAAATCAGCAGTTAATAGAACAAATACCGTATCGCTGAAAAAAGTGTTATAAAAAGCTCTAGTCGTTTATAAATTAATGTTCATGGTTAGTAACGACGAATTGGCATCGAATGAGTCAGAAGAAGATTTTTTTTTAGCTGGCAGCGATAAGGTTACATTAATGATGTTCATATCACAAGGCACCGAGCCTTTGCAAATTCCTAACATACAATCAAATGTACCATAAAACATTTTTGCACAACAACAAATANTATCACAAGGCACCGAGCCTTTGCAAATTCGTAACATACAATCAAATGTACCATAAAACATTTTTGCACAACAACAAATAGTACTGCCTCGTGATATTTGCTCGCGAACTGATTGCCATTTTAAAACTGCTCGTTACCCGAGCGAATGACATGCAGATTTGGGACATTTAACGTTTTATTGAAGCAGTATTTAAGAGGCGTTTATGCGATAACGATTGTTCAACTGAACCGGGGAAGTGAAGGTTATGAAACAATCAAGAGTAAAGTTTTGACGAACCGTACTGAGACATTGACGAAGTTGTTTACGTCGACTGAGACGTTCCTCAAGAACTGCCAAATAAGCTCGTTGCTTTTGCTCAATTGTATATCGTGACGGGAAAGGCTGCGTAGCATCGAATGCCAACTTTAAATCAACGGTTCTATGATTTAGTGGTATTTTGATTCAAATGCTATCGTTATTATTTATCAGTGGTGATTTGAAAGCCTCGACAAACATCGCTCACTCAGTCACCTCT